AGATAGATAGATAGATAGATAGATAGATAGATAGATAGATAGATAGATAGATAGATAGATAGATAGATTATTCGTAGTGAACTATATATGTGCATTTGAGACACATTAAAAAAATGTTAAATAAATTTAAGTAATTCAAATGAATCATTTATGTATTAAAAACTTGCTGTGTCTCATTTCTCTTTATCTCACACAACAAAAAGCATCAGAGTGGACTGCCCTCTAGTGCCACCAAGTGAGTGTGACAGAGTGAGTGTGTGTGGAGGGGGGATGGGGACAGCCTGCTTGTTTTGTGCATTATCAGAGGGCCTGCTATTTCAGCGCTGCCCAATCAGAGAGCCGCGTGGTAACTCAACGTTCATACATCCAGCGGAACAAGGTGGCGAATGCAAATGCTCTGAGATCAAGGTCTCTCCTTGGCAGTGGTGCATTGCTTGCTTCCGTCCTTTCATGTTCAAATGATGATGGTGATAATCTGAGGCCAGGGCTGGCCTCAGATGGAGCTGAGGGACGAATGAGCATCAGCGAGATCTTTGATATAGAATGCTGTAGTAAATGATATTTTTTATCATTCATGGAACTGTTTGATTGACAGTTTTTTTTCAAATAAAAATGGTCGAAGTACACTACTGTCTTAGTCCCTTTTTTCATGTTTGATTTGTTGGCACTCAGAAGCACTTTGGCAAATGTGGGGCTCAAAGTAGGACAAAGGAGCTGCAGCGTGCCTCAGTTGTTCACAGGGATTTGCTCCCGTCTATTCTAATAAAAGAATTAAAACACAAGCATATGTTGAACCATAATTGCTTCTTTGTAGATCCAGACAATTGCCAGCACAGTTGTGAAAGTGTTTTAATGCACACGCGCGCACACACACTGAACAGGAGCCTCCATCATCTTTGCCTGATCTGCCCTGTTGTTCTGCGTGCCTCCGGACCCACAGAGTTCATTTACAGTGTTGTATTTCATTAGGAATATGATACACATCACATTCACAGAGCATTTCAACCTCCAGGTGCTCCCATACGTGTCGGTAAAAAAAAATCTGCCTTTGTTCCTAATTACAACGGCGTAACTGCACACTGTGTTCATGAACTGTGAAAGTGATCGGAATGAGGCTGGTGAATTCTGAACATTGCCCTGGATGAAGACAGAAAACTTATGAAAAGAATATCAATGAGCTCAAATACAACAAATGGCCTATTTGTGGTTTTTTCTCATGGGTTCCTACTCCTGCATTTGAACATTTTAACAATAACATGCAAAAGATATGCCCACATATTTGCTTTTTACACTTAAATATTATCACAGTGAGTTGCCATGTTTAGATATGTTTAAGAAGAAACACAAATGCATTCCAAATATACAACTAAAATGTTCAGTTACAATCGAAATGTGGTATTCCAGCTGTATAACTCAGTCATCATGAATTTTACAGGACGTTTAGTCACATTTCCCTATAATTATAGATCAAAACATATCCTTGTTCAAAAGGTATTTTTACTGCTTGATCCAATTCATCTGGGAGAAGTTCCATATTAGTACCCTGGTGCTTCTAGCAACCCCTGATCTTTCGCTACGACCCATAAAGGGAGAAGATTGGAAGGTCGCTGAAGTCCATTGAAGTGTATCTGAGGGAAACTGGCCCTTGGACACGGAGCCCCCAGCCTCACTGTGTGTAGAAACATGTTGCCGCTCCATTCTTGTTTTGCACTGTGTGTTAGAGAGAGACAGGAGAATGCAAAATTACAAGAGAAGCAGCTATTCATGACTAAGACATACAATACATATTTATACTGCATATGCATCAAGTGTAGATGTTTTTGCAAAAGCCACACAGATGAAAATTAAGTGTGTGAGTGTGTGTGTGAGTGTGTGTGTGTGCCACGCGCACGCGCATGGCTGTGTTTTTCCCCAGAGAGTTCACAGCATGCTACAGATGAACTGAAAAAGTATATTGAACTCTTTTGAAAACTATGAAATATTTCGTATTTGAAAGAAGAAGGAGGAAAAGCTGAAGAAAAACAGCACGCTCATCATAATCAATTTTCTTTCTAATGAAAGGCTGAAAATTATATTTCACTTTTTTTACACATTAAAAGAGAAGTGCAAAATAAAAATACAAATTTTCTTTTGGAGACATTTCTTTTATTATTCCTATAAAAAGACCATTATCTGGTTGAGGTGAATGCCTTCTGAGCAAGAAAAGCAACTTTCATTCATCTTCTACAATGCATAGCTGTAAATTATGGCATTATCTCTGCTGCCATGGAGAGGCAGAAACGAGGGGCTGAGGGTGAGGCGAGGGAGGGTGTAGAAAATAAAGAAAATGGCTTTGGAAAAGAAGAAAAAAAAAAAAGACAAACACACATACCCTTCAGCATAAAGTCAATGAGAAAGATTATGCTTGGCCTTATCCAATAGGGCCTGTCAGATTTATTTCCAACATCAAGGGACTCACTGCTTACCCCTGCCGCATCCATCAGTGCCCCGTCTGGGTTTCTGTGTGGTCAGGGTGGTGGGCAGAGGCTTGGAGTGGACGGTTAAAGCGGGCTGGATGAGCTGAGTGTGTATTTGAGAGGGGAAGTGGTTGCCAGGGCACGCGGGCCCGTGGCATCCTGCACTGTCTGGCATCCCAGTGTGCAATAGGAGCACTAGTCACCACTGGAGGTGAAAAGCAGTGTCACTGAGATGAAAGGGGACTTCCCCCCTATGTTCTGTGAGAAAAAAAATGAAAAAGACAGACGGATATGGAGAGAAAGCGAGGGAGGGAGCTAGTGAGAGTTTTAGGGAGCGTAAAATCGCTCTCACTGTATTTCATGTCAATATGTCTCGCATTTGAAATCCTTATTATAGGTCGGGTGTGAAAAAAAAAAGGGGGATGTGCTTTCATTGTTCAGGGACATGTGCTGTGACACACGCACACACCCTAACACACACGCTAAAAACAAATACACACTATTCCCCTTGCCCAGGCGCCTGTGCCACACCACCCACCTCTGTCATTCTGCAATGTGTAACCTAGCAACTATTTAATTAAAATAGCATCAGCAAGGATGAAGGCTTTTTCCCCTCCCTCAAAAGGCTTTCCTCCAATCTCAGTGCTTTCCAGCACACTATGAATCAAATGTGTCTGCTGCTGTATTGTGCCCCTCACACT